GAAATAGAAGTTTAATTATTTTCTTTAGTAAAATACATTTGGGAAACCAAAAATTCAAGCTAAACTATACAACAACTTGAAAAGTGTTTGACTACGTATTTGATTTTTATACAAATCAATAAATTCTAAATCGTAGATTTAAAAATCAACAAAATCGACCAAACATTTTTTACATTTATAATCTACATCACTATTGTGGGGAGGATAAATATTGCTCCTACACCCAACTTAAAGTATACCAATCGGTATACTGAATCGATTAAGCTATGTCCGTCTGTCTGTTTATAAATGTAAACCGCTACATCAAGATACTTTGATACAATTTGGTACATACTTTTCTCTTACCCCAAGGACGAAGCCTAGAAAATGGTAGTAGTCGGCCCATTATTTCACCTAGTCGCCATACAACCGAACCCTTCGAATAGGGCTCTTAAGCTCATAATTATGTCAAATGTTTTAGTATCTATACAAAAATCGGCACAACTTAGTTTTGTATAAAAAATTGGACAGAAAACATGCTTAATAGTAGGGCCATTAACTCTTTTATGGGTATTGGCAAGACAAGAAGGGTTGTGACAAGGGGCACACACCAAGGTGGTGTCATCTCTCCACTCCTGTGGAAACTTCTTGTAAAAAAAACCCTTTTCAGACTCAGTAGGATGGGTTTCGAAGTAGTCGTATATGCCGACGACGTTGTATTTCTTATTCAAGGGAAATTTCTTCCCACAATAAGTGAACTCATGGAATCAGCCCTCAGCGTTCTACTAACATGGTCCAGGGAAACCGTCTGGGTGTCAATCCGGCCAAAACCGAACTGCGTTTGGATGGCACCATTCTGAATACCTCAAACGAAGCTAAATATCTTGGAGTAATTTTAGACTCTTAGCTCACGTGGAAACGTAATGCTGAGAGTCGAATGAAGAAGGCACTATGCGCCTTCTATATATGTAAGAAAACCTTTGGAAAAAGATGGGCTCTTGTTTGGTGGAGAGCGGTGGATACCAAGACTTTCTATTCTAAACAAGGTACAAAGATTAGCATGTCTTGAAATCACTGACTGTATGAGATCCACCCCTCAGGCTAGTCTAGAGACGATGCTAAATATAACTTCCCTTGATATGAATTTCTGCTAAATCTGCTCTATGAATTAAACAGTCGAACGGACGGAAGCATGATCGCATTGGTCATGGCAACATACTACAAAAGATAGGCAGACCAATCATGGGGCAGGAAACGGACTTCATACTATCTACACTGGATTCAAAACCAGAATACCGACAAGGGATGATTGGGCCGTGAACACTGCCCTAAGTGATGACGTGATCTCAATCCACACTGACGGCTCGGAAGGAGCACGGTATTGGTAATCTTCTCCGAAAAACTGAATCTTCTACTGTCTCTTCGACTACCTGACACCTGCACAGCAGAGATATACATAATCTCGAAAATTCGACTATACATGTATATACTTGGACAGCCTTGCATCAATCAAGGCTCTTAACTCCAATGTTATTAAGTCGAAATGTCTTCTCAATTGTATTTAATCATTGGCACAGCTGACACAACATCAGATCGATTTGATATGTGTTTCAGGGCATGAGGCTATAAGGGGAAATTAAATATCTAATGTATGCGACAGGTTTTCACGGAGACCGCAAGAACCAAGTAGTCAACGAAATTAAGGACGAAAACCATTCTCTCAACATAAGGGATTGACAATTCTAAGGGTACCATAATGAGCCACAAGGCCTCCGAGTGAACTCGCTAACTAGCGAGCAACCCACGTAATCTAAACTGACCTAGTTTTGTATAAGTCTAAAAGATACTGCCAATTTAGGCCTCATTTGACCCTATCCACCATACAAAGTCCACTTCAGAATATTTCACTTATAAACACTAGTATCACGATAAAATTTTTCATAAATAACTTTAATGGAAACGTAAATCCCTCTAACAACATTTATAAGGATAGGCCCATATTTACCCTTGCCACCTTATAACACCTCATTCAGAAAATCACTTTTTTTGTAAAATATGTTTAAAACTGAGATAATATTAACAATTAAACAGATTTGTGTCATTAGACAAATTACTTTAATTAGTAAAAAAATAAAATTTTTATTGTCAAATATTCATTAAGCGTAAAAAAAATCATTGAATAATTTTTATTTAAATTAAAGAAACCTCGAATTTAAAAGTATTATAAAGCACAGATGCGTAACTGTGAAATGCATAAACATATCTACTATAGGTATAACTGTATTGTCTATTTTTTTATTATTACATATTATTAAATTTGTATGGTTTTTGTTTATTTAAACAACAAAAAATTAGTGCAAAAATTTCAAAATACTAAAAAAGGTATGTAAACAAATAAACAAATAAAAATGTATTGTAATACGAAAAATACAACAATTGAAAATTTGTAAAGATATAAACAATTGAAACGAAATAAACAATGTTTTTTTTTTCATTTATTGTTGCATTAACTTTTCTTTATGGGTTGTCTTTTATTGTGTTGAATGTATTTTTTTGTTAATTTTTGCAACAATCTCTCTTTAACAAAACCCATTTGAAACAAAACCAAACAACCACCCACTTAACTTTAAATAGAAATTGTTAAGTTGATTTTAATCGTTAAGCGGAAATCTTTCTTGTCTTAAAGTTTGTGTTGTTTTTTGTCTTTTGTTGTTTTTAAAAGAAAATCTACATAAAAATGTCTAATACACAGAGTTTATAACCATATAAGTTAAATCTATACGAGTAGTATTCACATTCGAGTACTGCTCCACTACTCTTAACTGCATTAAACTATAAAATACTAGTATGTTGTTGGGTTGTTAGTAAATGATAAACGTAAATCATTGAATCTGGAAAAAAATTGTTGTCTTAAACTGCTTTTACCAGTTAAGAAAACAAACAACAAAATTGTTGTCTATGTTGTTGTTGTTTTCCATTTAATTTGTATGTTGTGAATTTAATTTAGCAAACGATTGGGAAATTTAATAGTGGCACCATCTATGCCATATATGGAAACTAATAAATAGTTAATAAATGCATTCGTTAAGGAATTGAAAATGAAAATTAATGAGAAATTTTTTTATATTAGAAATATAACTCGAAATTTAAACGACTTTTAACTGAACTACGTTGAGTGAAATATTGCAAAAGTTTTTTATACGAATTTGTTTAATTATTAGTTGGGAAATTTGATTGCTGTTTGACTTAAAATGAGAGTGAAAAATTAGGTAATAATAAATTATGATAAATTTGGAAACTTTTTTAGGCAATATCTAATAATAGTCATTTTGTATTTATGTTGATTGGAAAAGTTTCTCAAGATCTTGGGAAATTAATAAAATATTTTTATTTCATCATTATAGTGGTTATACTTTCGAATATTTTAGGTCTGTTACAGAGTGCTTTATTGAAAATTTAATAGATTGAGGTTTAAATTAACTTAAAGAAAAATAAAAATAAAAGTATTTTGACAATATTAAAGGAAAAACCATGATTTTTTCTCAATTCAGCTAGCTGAATATATCTTATTAAATCCATTACAAAATTAAAAAGTATAAGACTGCAACATTATATTTTTTTATTCTGAATATAGGTTAATTAATCAGTTTTCAGACACATTTTTTATTTAAAACATTTCTTACTGCATATTCAGCTAGCTGAATTAGTAAAAAACATTGCTTTTTCATTTATTCTTTTCTGAAAACATCTATTAAATTAAATATTTTATTATTCAGCTAGTTGAATATGTCATAAAAGTCATATTTTTGTATTTATTCCGGTTTTAGTGTGTAATGGTAATTTAAGTTCATTCAGCTAGCTGAATTAAAAAAAATCAAATTTATTACTTCCATAAAAAGACAAAATTATAAAATATTTCAGTTTTTTAATTCAGCTAACTGAATGTTCAGCATTCAGTTATCCATAATTATTGAAAAAAATTCTTAATTCAGCTAGCTGAATATATATAAAAATTGTATTCTTGAATATACATTCTTAAATTAAATTCATTCGGCTAGCTGAATCAATAAAGATCATTAATGCTTTATTTGTGATACATTAAACTAAGATACTAAGTTACATTTTTATTTATTCATCTAGCTGAATATAACATAGAAAGCGTTATTTTAGGTTTATTCTGATTTATATTTTTGTAATAATATACTTATTTTAAGTTCATTAAACTAGCTGAATTAAAAAAAAAACGAATTTATTTAACTAGAAGGAAATCGTTGGTAGATAAAAAAATCACTATTTATCAAAGTTACTAGAAAATACTAAGTTTTCTTAATTCAGCTAGCTGAATAGAGCTTTAGTAGCTTTTTATTCACTATTAAACATTTTTTGTTAAAATCAATTTTTTGTTAATGATTTGTAAATTCAGCTAGCTGAATTAAAAAATCTTCCGTATTGTATAAATACCCCTTTTGATTTATCTGTTTAATTATTCAGCCAGCTGAATTTAACTAAAATACATTTATTTTGATTTAAATGTTAAAATGATAGTTTAAGTTAAATCTACCAGCTGAATATGTATGAAATAATTGAATTTGTAAAAATACTTATTGACATGAAGTATGGTGCTCATATACTAACAATTCAGCAAGCGAAATATTAATCCATTTTAATACTTTAAGTATTTCAAACACAAAATTTACAGCCAGCTGAATTATAATAACAAATAATTTGAATAATATAAAGACCCATACAGGTAAATATATTAAATCAGATCCATATTACTTTCTTTTATCTTCAAAAAGTCTCTGAAACTATTAATTTTTACAGATCTTTTCAATTACTAATTAATTTGTTAAATTTATGTCAGACCGTAGTTCGAATCCTGTTTTTTATTCTATTTCCAAATTTTTTGAATATAGAAAAAATATTTTTAAAGCTCCAGCAGAATTTTATAAACCTTGCCCTTTAACCCTTTTAAGATCAACTTTTAACCCCAAAAATAATAAATAACATAATAAACTTACCAGCTACAACGGAATCGTGTTTAATTGTACGACGCACAATCATAATAGCATCGTGTAAGGAACGTTCAGTTTCTTCCAAAAATTGTTCAGCACCACCACGCAAGATCAAGGTACAAGTTCTGGCATTGGGGCAGCCTAAAACAAATACCAAAATCATTTAATATAAACTTAAAATAAACATATTTATCTTTATAGCAAACCTTGGAAAACATTGAAACGTTCACCACCAACTTGACGTTCTTCAAAGTAATCACATTTACCCAAAACATTAGGGTTAATATCATTAGCAGTGGTCATAACAGCACCGCCGCAAGCTTTCATGGTACGCTTAAGATCCTCATCGGGAACACGACCGGCACAGAACATGTCGCGGTCAGCAAAATACTGGGTGGCTACATCGCCAATGGGCAATTTGGATAACACAACATTGGCACCAGATTCATGGATCTTGGCCAATTTGTTGTAAAGAATTTGCCATTCGGCATCGACAATCTTTTGGTATTCCTTGACATTGTCAACACGGACTTCAGCATTGTCACGTTCAGCCTTCAATTCCAATTCAATGTTGAGCAAAGCAATTTTGCAGTCCTTGTAGTTTTTGGGTGCCATTTCGAAACCGGCATATGAGAAAGTCTTCTTAAAGGCAACACCAGAGATCAATTCTGACTCTTCCAAAGAACCACCAGTGACTTTCTTAATACCAATCATGTTCAAAGGCAACAATTCATCCAATGAAAGCACAGCATCTACCACCATCTTGGAGAAGAAGTCTTTTTGTTGATGGATCAATTTGGAGGACATGGCAGTGGCAGCACATTTGGTCAATAAGGCTTTTTGTTCATCCTTGGATTGTTTCTCAATGTGTACAGCCATTTCGTTGATTTTGTCCATGCATAATTGCAAAGATTTGCGGATGGCCTTAATGATGATGCGGGGGTGTACACCTTCTTCAACAAATGGTTTAACTTGTTTGAGAATCTCACCAGCCAACAAGACTACAGAGGTGGTACCATCACCAACCTAAAGAAAAAGGAACACATTTTGTTAATTTCATTTTTGTGGGTACAAAATAAGCAAATAATAATTACCTCAGCATCTTGAGACTTGGCAATATCAACCAAAGTCTTGGCGGCAGGGTGAACAATTTCCAAAAGTTTCATGATAGTGGCACCATCATTAGAGATAGTTGCCTTACCCTGAGAGTCAACAATCAATTTGTCCATACCACGAGGACCCAGAGTGGTACGCACAGCATCCACAATCGATTGGCAGGCATTGATGTTGGAAATCAACTGAGGTTTGCCTTGGGAGGTATCGGTACCCTCTTTAAGTAACACAATTTGGGGTTGCTAAAACAACATAAGAAATTTGTAATAATTATAATTTTTGTTTAAAACATGAGTCACGGGTGTAGTAAACACATAGAGAACCAACTACATGAGGCCCGGTAAAACAAACAGCTGTCATGTATAAAACGAATAAACGGAGAAGTATAAACGAGAAACTTCTGTTTGAGGTTAGGTTGAAAGAAGACAGACAAATTGAAATGCAATAATTATTTAAAGAAATTCATGAAATTTAACAAATAAATTATTGAATTAATATGATTTTCATTTGGTTATTTAATTAATTTATGTTTTAATTGTAAAATATATCAGAATTCTGTTTGTAACACAAAAATTACACCAGCTGACGATGGGTGTGTTTGTTGGTCATGTTTAATTGTATATTTTTTTGGTTTTATTCCGTTTTTTATTATAAACTCTGGTTTAACTTATTTTTTACTTTGTTTCTTACCATTTTTAAAAATTATATATTTTAATATTGTTTTAATTTATTTATAATTAATTAAATTTGCAACAGCGGTCCTTTTCACGCGGCGTATTTGTTGAACAAAAAATGTGTGACTTCACTTTTTTGCTCTCTCACGAAAACACCAATAAGAACAAGAAAAACAGAAAAAGATGAGTAATTGTCAAATGAAAAAAATACAGAGTTGTATTTGTTGACACACACAGTGCTGTTGAAATGATTAAGGGTAAAAAAAATAAATTAAATCAATAAATTTGTTAAAATTAAAAAAAAAAACATACAAAAATAATAAAAATTAAATTTATTTAAATAAATCAGAAAAAAATTAATCGTTAAATAATTTTATCTTTTTTATAATATATAATTATTAAAAGAAAAATAATTATGATTTAAGCGATTTTCGATGGTAATTGCCAGAATGCATTATTTCTTGAATTGTCTCTTACACCCAATTTACACGATGATTTTTTTTCATGTTTGCCCAGACGTCTGTTTTCATGTTTGTCGATGATTGGCGGTGAGCGGGGTAGAGAAGAATGGGGGGTAAGAAAACAAACATGATTTGGGATTTTCATGATTGTTTTTGACATTCCTCTTTAAACTCATTCGTACTGTTGATATTATGCTCATGTAAAAAAATAATTATGTCTTTTTTTTACATGAAAACATTAAAATTTGCATTAAAAAAATACTATAGCGTGTAATTAAATTTTTTTAAATCAAATTAAATGGTTTTTATGTTAAAAATTTCATTTTATTTTTATTACGAATAAGTAATTAAAAAGGATTATACAATTAAACATCCAAAAAAGACATGCATAGTTGCATGTAAAAAATCACCGTATAAATGTTCATGATTTTTTGGAAGATTCTCAAAAGAGAATTGGAAAAAACAGACGTCTGAAAAGTCTTCATGTAAATTGCGCCTTAGTGTACAAAAAAGCACTACTTTGGTAACTTTGTTAAATGTCAAAAGCAGAGCTGCCACATTGTTTTATGTGGAAAAAGCACCCAAAACTTTTTTTGATTTTTTTATAAAAATTCTCGTCAAATACACCGATACAACAGTGCAAAAAGAGTGGTTGACTTGGATACACTGTTTTACCTATATAAAATTACTGTTTTATCGATTAAATTGCAACGGTTTTTGTGTACACTAACAGGTTATGTTTAATTCTCATGTGAAAAAACCCTAAAATATCTACTACGCCAGATTTGACGAAAAAAATTGTTTTACCACTTTTCGTCAAAATTTTAGAAATTTTGGGACTATGAATAAAAATTATTATATTACTTACCTATGTATGTACTCAATCCATTTAATAATGGAACGAAAAATATTGCGAAATTTTTATTTTTAGAATAGTAATTACTTGTTTATAACACCTTAATTCTTACCTTAAAAATTAATCATATAAACAAAACACAATTTGTATACCATAATGATGTACGGCGGCCAAAATCCATTTCCAATTTGTTGTGGAATGAATGACCGTGCAACCAAGAACGGTGTCGTATGAGAAACTTTATTTATAGAGTAACGATGTCAAACTGTGCATAGCATGCATGCATGCATTTGTATTGCCCGCCCGACTGGCTGACACGAGACGAGTAAAACAAGATGCTGCCTGCCTGCCGGCCTGCTGCTACAGCACACATCCAACAAGCAAAACTTCTTCAGGGCGGCAGATGTTGTCAGTATCCTCTTATAATGCGTAACGTAAACATATGCGCCGCAACAAATTCAAAACTAATAATACTTCGAAACATTTTTAAAATACCGAAAATAAGAAAAATAAATACTTTAAAGTTTAAACTGAAAAAAGAAATTTGAAAAACCAACTAAAAAAGTGCAACAACAAACAACAAGTGAAAAAAATCAAGCAATTTTTTTAATTTAATTTTAAACTAAACGTAAAAAAGTCAACGAAATTCATGAAATAGTTTCTAAATCTAATTCTACGTAAATGGAATTGGAAAAACTAGAAGCGATTAAGAAAAAATATAAAAATAAATTTCTTAAACAAAAAAGTTTTACAACCAAAAAATACTTTGGGAGATTTTTCAAAGTGCAAAAATCACTTAAAAGGCAATTGGTAACGAGTTCACACATTAAAAAGTGAAGTGGATGACAAAATTTACAAAAAGTTATTATTATTATTATTATTATTATTATTAAAATTTATTAATTATGTATATTAAAAACACGTTTATTTACGAAAAAGTGTTTTAAGCAAAAAGGTTAACGGTTAAAAGACAGAGTTGCATTTTTTTAAAGTACGTTATTTGGTTTGTACTTATCTCGTATCAAATTTATTTAACCAATTTATTACGCATGTAAGTATTGTTGTTGTAAAAGAAAATTGCTCTAGTTGTTTTTATAAATTTTGTTGTTGGCATTTTTGAATTAATTATCATGAATGCTTTTTGCTCGGTCCAACCAAACTATTTTTGGTTTAAACGACCGCAAAATGTCATTTGGACACAAAAGAATTTTGTAAAATTTAGCCAAAAAATATTTTTCTTATAGATAAAACCAAAAGTTTAACTAATTAATTGATTACATTAATATTTTTTATATACTTTAAATCTGCATATGATTAAAGAAGAGTATTACTCAATTTTGTTTATTTTTTTAAAAACCAATAAATAACATTTTCATTTTTCACAACAAAAAAATGAAAAAATGAATGATAGAAGAAAAACAGCAAAAATAAATAAATATTTATTTAATAAACCAAACAAACTTAAAACAGAACACAAAAGTCGCAACGTTAGTTATACTATATTCTATATACAATTTTTTTTATGAAGAAATGAAAAATAGAAAATAAATATTTTTACATGTGGTTTTTTGTTGTAACTCAAAGTGATGAATGAAGAAGGATGCCATCCATATTACAAATCCGTTTTTATACAAATCGGATAAGATTTAGCCTATATTTCCCTCTTATAACAGATCTATAGATAGCTAGATGGATAGATAGATAGATAGATAGATAGATAGATAGATAGATAGATAGATAGATAGATAGATAGATAGATAGATAGATAGATAGATAGATAGATAGATAGATAGATAGATAGATAGATAGATAGATAGATAGATAGATAGATAGATAGATAGATAGATAGATAGATAGATAGATAGATAGATAGATAGATAGATAGATAGATAGATAGATAGATAGATAGATAGATAGATAGATAGATAGATAGATAGATAGATAGATAGATAGATAGATAGATAGATAGATAGATAGATAGATAGATAGATAGATAGATAGATAGATAGATAGATAGATAGATAGATAGATAGATAGATAGATAGATAGATAGATAGATAGATAGATAGATAGATAGATAGATAGATAGATAGATAGATAGATAGATAGATAGATAGATGGATAGATAAATAATAGATAGATAGATAGATAGATAGATAGATAGATAGATAGATAGATAGATAGATAGATAGATAGATAGATAGATAGATAGATAGGTAGATAGATAGGTAGATAGATAGATAGATAGATAGATAGATAGATAGATAGATAGGTAAAATTCTACTTTAATTTTCGAAGAAATTAAAAATTTCCTCTAATTTCGTTAAATTGTTTATTTAAAGAAAACAAACTAATTGATGGAGAAGAAATTTTATGAGGACCGATCCTCATAAAATTTTGCATAGTGATTTTGGATAACAAGAAACTTACTTATGTCGAATTTCATCACTATATTCGTATTTTTAAACAAGTTATGGCTGTTAAAGCTGCTTTTCGAGGGGCCACTTGTATGGGGGCTATCCGAAAACGTGGACCATTTTCAATACCAAACAAACCTTACCTATAAGAAATACTTATGTGAAATTTCAACCCTCTAGCTCTTTCCATTCGGACTCTATCAACAGACAGACAGACGGACGGACGGACAGACGGACAGACATGGCCAGAATTTAATAAGGACCCAGAATATATATACTTTTGTGGGTCTATGACCAATATTTCGATGTGTTACAAACGGAATGACAAAATCAATATACCCCCCATATTTTTTGATGGTGGGTATAAAAAATTGTATCGGGCATTTTGGCTTAATTAGCAAGGTTTGCTTGTTAATTTATAGTGTGGCCACTCTACAAAAAACCAATTGTTATTGTAATATTTAGAACATTTTCTTTTATGCAAAAAAGCTTTTCACGGCAACAACAACCAGCCAACCCCCACCCTCCAACAACACTAGTTGCAAATAATTGTTATTGTTTAGTTTGTCATAAAAAATATTAAGGAAAAAAGCTTTCTTAAATTTAGCGTTTATTTGGTATTATTTTCTCATTGTTATTATTTTCGTTACTCATTTCAAATAATCTCGGCAACGGCCAACAACAAAACACACACTCACTAACTCATTCACTCACTCGCTTGTCTAGTGCGTTAGTTAGACATGTCTTGTTTTTGTTGTTACTAAATGTGATGATGATGATTTTTGTTTTTGTTATTTTATTCTTTTTCTTTTTGTTTGTACGAAAAAAAAGTTTAACTTTTTGTGCCGAAAGGCAGCTAAAGCTTTGCTGGTCAAATTAGTCAATCGGAGTCGTCCGGCCGAAACGAAAGATCTCGCTTTTCATTGAATAAAAAAAAATAAAATTAGTTTTTTAATAAAATTTTGCAACTAAAATAATAAATAAATTATTCTCTTAAAATACATCTCTTGTTGATTAAATATTAGAATTTAAGAAAGTAACAGTGAATTTTCATAACGAATTAAAACGACGAAACCATTAAATTTATAAATAAATAGAAATAGTTAAAGGCAACAATAAAATAATAAATCTAACTAAATAAATCGCAATACATATACAACGAACACACAACCAAATACATACTTATAAAATTGTCTAATAAAACGGTAAATTTGCAAAAACGAACTTAGTAGCAGCAGAAAGAAGGAATTATTTTTTATTAAGAGAAAGAAAATTAATGAAACTAAAAACTAAAGAGAAACTAAAAAAACCACGCGTCTAACGGTAAATCAAAGTAAAGTGTAAAATAACAAAGTTTTCAACACATTTGCAATAAAAATAAATTAAATAAATAAATTACTTTATAAATAACATAAAATATACGAAAATATAAACAAAAATTTCAATTTAAATAAACATTTTTGCAAAG